ATACGAAGACACGGCAATTCTTCCAGAGAAGAATATCTCAATAAAAAGGGATATTTTTCATTCAATGAACAAGATGACTCATTAAAATTTTTAGCAAATATGATGATTGTACCATTTTTCTCTATTTTTCAATTTATTTGTTCTTCGCCAGCGTGGCTTCCAACTAAATTCAATTAACAACCAATTTTCATCATATAATCGCCTGTAATATTATATTTCTGTGTTATATTATTTATTAACATTTTATATACCATGTGCGACCAAATGACACTGATCAAACATTATTTGGAATGAAAACTACAAATGTTGTAAAAGTCACTTGTAATACAACACGAGAAATAGCAAACGTACATCATAGATATTGCAAAACAGCGAAATAAAATAATTGCTATTTAATTTAGAATGGGGTTACACGTTTCATTCAATTTTTGTCGCGTTATCTAATTTCTTCTCGACGCGACTCGACGCGACGAACGATTTTGAGAGAGGCATCGCGTGAGAGAAAACGCGATCGCGGAAAAATGCGACATCAGGATCAGCGGAAGGTTAAAAGGCAATTCAGTGGAATTGTTCTCTCATTTGTTGCGGCGAGGGAGAAAAAAAGGAGAGAAAAAAAAAAAAGGAAACACGCGTGAGAATGGTCTCCCCGATTTTTCCAACGTCGAACGTCAGTCTCCAGCTTTCCCCCCCCCCTCCTGCCTTTTGAATCTCCGAGAATTTGTTAGTCCTCTTCGTCATCTTGTCTTCTTTCCTTTTTTTCTTCTAGAAATCATGCGAGATTTATAGGCCCGAGATAGAGAAAGTGGGATGGATGACGGTGAGCTAGAGAGATACAATTTCTATTGTTAATTTATCAGTACCTTGGATAATTAACGTGCCTGTTAGTGAGATAAGCATTTAGGGAAATGGCAGTACCGATTAAAAAACACGAATGTAATTCGATTACGTTTATTTAATAATTGTGTTTATTTGCATTTAATAATGCATTTGTAACAACAATACACGTAATAATTATACAGATTTATTAAGTAATTTATTAAATAATTTATTATTTAATAATTGATTTAAAAATTAAATAATTTATTAAATAATTACATCAATTTATTTAATAATTACATTCATACGTTCTTTACATTTAATAGTCGCATTACAGGTTGCATCGTTTGCATACTTGAAGCCTGAATTCAATCACGAGCTAATGAATTAGTGAGAATTCTCTGACAAGTGTATTAGTACAAGATTGAATTATAAATCAAATTTGAAATTAATAAGATCCTGAATTATTGAGAGATCCCGAATCACCAGAATTCCAAATTGACGGAACTCCGGATTAGTATGGCTGTTGTTGGCTCAGTAAAGTTCTCGGGCGTCAACGAAAATTCTAAATTCCTTGAATCAGTGAGTCGAGTTTCCCCGAGTTAGTTGGTCAAGTCAAGTTTCCTGAATTAATGAAATTCGACCATTCGAAAATCAACGAAACACTCGAAATTTCTTTTGTTAACGATCGCGTTAATTCCTGGTGTGTCAGGGACGATGGCGTTGAGGATGCTGGAGCTGGTGGTGCCCCAGCACGTGGTCCGTGGCCAGAACATCAGGCTGGAGTGCAACTTCAACCTGGACGGCGAGACATTGTATTCGGTGAAATGGTACAAAGACGGGAACGAGTTCTATCGATACGTACCACAGGACAGGCCGCCGGTGCTCGTCTTTCAGCTGCCGGGTGTCACGGCGAACGTAAGAATCACATTCTATTGATTTTTTTACCGGGTCTCGTGCCAGTGCAAACCCCCCCCCCTCGCCTTACCGATCCCATTCTATTTAAAGCGTGTCGCTTCTCATTTTTATCGCGTCCTATCGCCTGTTCTCTCCCCTTGCTCGACTTTGTACATTTCCGTTTAACGAATTCCTCTCCAATTCTCTTTACCGCTACCGTTCACCAAAAGTACACAGAAATCCAGTCAGAAACGTGACGAAGATTGCTGCACCACTCTTCTCTCGCAAGAGAAAATTATCGTTTGCCAATTTTTTCTTTTTTTTTTTTTTTTCCGAAGCAAGAAGCAACACGCTTTTAACCCTTGGCTGCTATCATCGAGGTTTTCTCTATTTCCATTTCAGATATCTTGGAAATTTTTTTTATAGATGTAATAATTATATCGAGGCTCTTTAATTACCATTAATTGTATTTCTTGTAATTGAGATTATGCAACCAATATCTATAGTTTTTTTTTTTCTTCTTCTTCTTATAAAGACCAAATCATAGCATGACTACGACGTCACATTGTACAAACAGCTGTTAATGAAACTGATGAAAAAATATTGTCCCCAAGCGACTAGATATAGATACATGCTGAGAGTTAACCTCTCCGACCTCATCAATTCAACACGAAAGGATGTTGATGGCAAGAATTCGCTATTAAGCTACGATCATGATAGCCGATTCGAGGAATAGTAGAGAGGGTTAATTACATCGGGTTAATTCGCCTGGAACTGTTGTTCGCTACAGAGGGAATCGCTTCTTGCTTTCCAGATTCACAATTCGACGGAGAGATCGGTGGTTCTCTATTCGGTGAACTTAATGAGCACCGGAAGATACAGATGCGAGGTGTCAGCAGAGGCGCCATCCTTCCAAACTGTCTCCGATCACTCGGACATGCTGGTAGTGGGTAAGAAACGTTTACAGATCGTTGCATCAGTTGATCTTCCCCACCGGCAACCATCGGGAAATGTTTTTTGCCGCCTGACAAAAATATCAAACGTCCCCTCCTCCTCCACCTCCAGCGTGACAGGTCTACGAAGGTTTGGCATTGGTTCCATTATATTTACAATTTAGAAAAATAAGTTAATTTTAAACCTGGAACGTGGAACCGTTGTTTTCGCTTCGTTTCTTTATTTTCGTCATACCAATATGGAAGCTCGGCTTTCTGAAACGAATTTCTTCTTAGAACTGTTTTCTTCATTTCCAAAGGATTTACCAATCAAGTCAAATTTGCTGATTTTTAACATTTTATTACACCTTCAATGAATTGACCTGTCAACTATCAGTCTATATAAAAATATAAAATAGACAGATATTATTGTTATATATTTATACAGAGTGAACAAAATCTCATTCTTTCGAGAGTTCTAAAGTATCTCTAGCAGAGAAAAACGATGAAAATTTAGATAAATCAATGTATCCAATAAATTCTCTCTCTCCTCTCCAATTTGCCCATCGTGTCATCGTCCTTTTCTGTTTCTTTCTTTCTCTTTTCGCACACAAAGAACGTAACCTCATTCCTCCAAGAGTCTAACTACATGTCCAACGGAAAGAATAAAAAAAAGAAAAAAAGAAAGTAAAAATATGGTAACAGCTCTGCCGGAAGACGGGCCGATTATCACTGGCAGACCAGGAAGGCATCGTTATCAAGTCGGTGACGTGGTGCGGTTCAATTGCACTTCGGCGAAGTCGAAACCAGCTGCCATGCTCAGCTGGTTCATCAACGGGGACCCTGTAAGTGACTTATACATATATATATATATATATGTATATATACTTAAAACCTCTACAGTACACGCTGTCAGAAGCCGTGAAATTCCGTGGGAAAATGTCCGCCGCGACATTTTTCTTATCTCCTGTTCCTTATCCCCAGTAATTACTCCCTGGCGATCAATTTTAACTTCTTCCAGTGCCACTGTCCACCGGCTGTTACCGCAAGTATATCGATTTTCGCAGAATATAGCGTGACGTTGCATCAAGGAACGGTGTTTCGTTAATTGGACGAGCGAGGCGGATCATTTAAAGCAGCTAATTGAAGTGTTATAAATGGCAGAGGCGAGTCCGCCGTTATTGTGCATTCAATTTATTAGAACAGCGCCATTTACGAGCGTCTTTAATAACTGTATAAGTCAAGTATCCCTTGTTCAGTTTTCATTAAAAAGAAGCTTCTGTTTTTTTTCAAGAGATTCGAAGGAAAAGAATTTCAGACATGTGGAATAATACTTTTAGAAGTGGGAAGCGTCAGGAGCGAATTATATCTAAATAATTAAAAAACAGAAAGAGAAATCTTCTAGTCTATTTCTAGTAGGAAATTTTTCTATAAAAGTCTTCACAAAGAAACAAATTTCTTCGAAAGTTTAGGACAACCGAAATTTGTAAAGGAAAGAGTCTTTCCATAAAATGCTAGATCCCTACAAAGCCTGGAAAAGCTAAAACCTCGCCAAGCAAACGTGCATTTTAACCGATTCCCTATTTCCTGATACAGATCTCAGTCAATTCCCTATTTTATCATCACAGATCGTTTTTACAGAGAGCTGCTCAATTATTTAATCCACCTGATTCACCATTCTCTTTACCATCAGTTGAATCTTATTCTTAAAACGAACAGTCGAACTTCTCTAGTCTTCTATTCCATCGTCCATCGTTCTGTTCCATAAATAATTATCTGGCCCAGGTTTCTGGTTAAACATCTGTTAATAAATCATCCGTGTCGACCATCTTACGAAACACCGCAGTCCCTGGGAGTGCAGTCCAACTCGATCACAGGGTCAAGTCGTAACTTAACCTGACCAGTCCTCGCTCGTCCAAAGTGGAATTGCAAATTTGACTTACTCCCTTTAAACACGCAGGTATCACCTGCACGTGATAAAGCAGAGACTTTTATATACGTTTCCTTCTTTTTTTTCTCTCTCTCTTTTTCTTGCTATTTTCGGCCGGGTACAGGTCGACACGCAATACTTGAGAGGGCCCCACATCACCGAGGTGGATCGCGAGGGTCTGGAAACCGCCGTGCTAGGTCTGGAGTTTCGTCTGCGTACGAAGCATTTCAAGAGGGGGGACCTGAAGATCAAATGCCTGGCAACGATAGCGACCGTATATTGGAAATCGAACGAGCTCAGCATAGAGGGTGAAAGGCCGCTGAAGATGCCGGTCATGGAAAGCAGGGAGACAAGGGCGCAAGGCCACACGCACGCCGAGCATATCTTAGGAGGTAAGCGATAGGACGGGTGCTGCTCGGTCGGTACAGTCATTCGCGAAAGTACAATGGCGGACGAAAGAAAGAGACAACACTACGAATGTTAATCATCTATTGAATATTACATTTTTTACTATATTAATGTAATCTATGTATTTTACATTCATTGGCTTTGTCAAATACGTATAATTTTTTAATAGTGTCATGTAGTCATGGGGTCAAGCTTGTATTGATAAAATGCGAAACAAATTTGAAAATATTCACAAAAGCTGTTCGAGATATTCGATGCACAGATATTAGTTGCAATTTTGTTGAAATATTGCGTTTGGAGCATGAAGTGAATAATCCATCTTCTTCGGTCGGAAATTTTTACACACCACTGTATGCGCGAAGTAGAATCATAAAAAAGTTATTCTTTGGAACGAGAGGCATCGAAAATGTAGAACGACGGTTTTTCGTAGAAGCTTTCATTCTGAAGGAAAAGCACTTTGAAGAGATCGCTTAAGGACGCATGCACTTGGCGGAGAAGCCTCAGCGGTTCCCATTCCTCATCATCCCATGTGGAAATTCGTTTGAGAATTATCTCAATAGAAAATTGTTCAAGAATTAGTAAATTCTTAAATTGTTTTGCTTGACGAATTAACATATAGATTAATTAAATAAAAAAAAATTAAAGTTATGCAAGTATCTCTGCTCTGAAAGTTCCAGTTCCCATGTGTCGATAAAAGTAAGTTCTGTCGGTAACAAAAATTATGGTCGATAATTTATCAATCAATGTGTGAATTTTTCGATTGAAGTGGATGAAAAATTTATTTCAAGGCTAAATTCTTTTCAAAAACATGAGAATCACTGCTATACTTTGGTTAACCCTCGGACGGCGAACTTGGGGACAGCGGTGGCTAGGTCAATTTTGATACGGATATTTCACGTTTGCGCATTCTAATGACATATTCACATTTTATCGTTTTATCACATTGTACAAACAATATTTCGATATTTCGATATATTATTTTTACATTGAAGTGAATATCAGAGAATTACGAATGTTATTAAAAAATTATTTCCTACATTTTTATTTTTACTTACCTTCACATATATTGTTCAGTATGTTACGCTAAAAATTCCACAAAAATTATGATCGTAATAACTGGATCGTAATCCAGGCAGTTAAACGTAGCTTTTAAAGCCTTGAACATTTTTCTCTTAAACAAAATACCAAAGAGAAAAGATAATTTTAAAAATTGAAAAAAGAAGGCTAGTTTTTTTTTTTAAAACATTTAGAACTTTAGAATAATTTTAAAACATTTAGAACTTTAGAATAATTTTATAATTATTAATCCCAGTATTAAATTCACAATGATATCTATTAATTCCCAAACGGATTTCCATCCTCAAGGGGGGGG